TCCTGGAGAGGTGCATTTCCTGCCTGTTGAACACAAGCATCTACACTTGTGGCGAAGCTCTTAATATGGTCTGGTATAGGGCATTCTTTGCTTTCAACACATCCTTTCTTTGTCTCAGAATCTCCATTTTGGTTCTTGCATGTGTGATTTTCATGAATAGGGTCATCTGCATAACTGATGTCTGTTTCTGGAGAGGACTCATTCAGGTCTTCTTCAACACCACACGGTTCTATCTTCATTGCCATGTCCAGCTGGCTTCGTATTTTGAGATTCCTACCATGAGAGACAATTATTTGGAATATTGCAAAGGCAAAAAAAAAACAAATTCCATAAATTACTGACATTACATGTTCTTACAACCAAAATAACACATCTACTGCTCTCAACATCAGCAATTACTTAAAATATAAATATTTTATAAAGTCTTCTCATTTCCACAACTAAAGCTGTAATTAACAAAAACTGCAACAAACTTCTGTCAGTAAATTATTTAATTAACCTTGCTATATTTCAAAGAAAAACTACAAACTGAAGCACGAGAAATAGCAAACTAATCAAAAAGTTGGTACTGAAAAGAAAACAAAGATCTGACTCCTCCTAGATCTGCAAAAAAAAAAGAAAGAAAGAAGAAAAAGTACCCTGTTGCACAGCTTAAATAATCGGACGTCTCTAACTAGTAACGAGTTCATAGAACAACTTATGTTAATACAAATACGACAGCAGCCTGGATCATCTTCAAGGAAAACCTTTTCAGCTGGTTTGAGTATCTACTGTAAAAGAACTGTAAATATTCCCAAGTAAGACATCTTTAAAAATATTTAACATGGTGCAGAGTAAGAGTTAAAATAAGCATAAAGGCTGTAATGTCAAAATCCTATGTGCACTAATTAAGCTTACCTCCAAAAACACAAATCTGTAAGTAACATGGTAGCTAAGGAAACTGAGCCAGGCTGCCGAGTTTAAAGGCTGATTTATCATTCTGAGTAGAATCTACATCCTAGGTGTCTGTCATGACATTTCTGGGGAAGTGCCAGTCCTTACCCTGGTACCATATTTACCAGTATATGTGGGCAAAATGTCTTTCAAAATGCCATGATTACTTAAATAAATTTGCAAACAACCACAAACAACTTCCACTTTCCAAAACACAGGCCACTGTTGTCTGTGAGTCATGTACCAGGACGTGTGAGAGAGTACAGGCATGAGGGGCCTATGTAAAGGCTTCATTGTTTAGGCAAAGTGGTGAAAATCTCCCACAGGGTTTCCAAAGGAAATCAGAAAATCACAATGTATGTATTCACCTTTCTTCATATGCAGCATCCTTGTGTTCATCCTCTTTATTGTTTTCAGTACTAGTCTGCTTCCTGTTTGTGTCTGTGTTCCCAGCAGCGTTGAGCAAACTCTTCCCTTCATCAGCAGACCCTTTACACTGTAACTGGTGACCACAGCAGCTCCCCATTTCAAATTGGATCGTTTTATTATTTCGTTACACTTTTTTTACATGGGTAAGCACACCAAAGGCATCCATGAACGGAAGCAGTGAGTCAAATGCATCTCTATAGATATTACTTGGGATTCTGGAAAAGGGGAACAAATCGGTATACAGTCAGGTTCAAGTCTGCACCAGGCCCCTCACACATACACCAGCTAACACAGTGAGACAACTTACAGGCAGTAACTTAATTAAAAGAGCAACTTGAAGCTAATTCACCTTAAGAGTTGTTCTTTAGATATAAGAGAAAATTAAAATATGGGAGTGTTCTACGAGACCGATTATAGATCTATAGATATATAATATAGTCATATAGTACTTTTAAAGCCAATACCATCTCGCGTGTTCTATCATTAGAAAAGTACTAATACACTTTACACTTGCGATCGAGTACTAATCATGACAGAAAAATCTGATAATCCGCACATACATTCTTTTGCAAATGAACCAAGAGTCGTCAATACGTAACAATGCGATATGCATTATTTTGGTCGCTGTTGGGGGTACAGAATTGTATGGCGTATTTATATAGTTACATACATTACGAGATAACCTCCTCCAGACAATGCGGACAGAAATAAACACAGCGTTTAACAACATGCCTCTGTGATTAACCTAAACAAAACAACTGCAAGTCGAGGCTGCGTGAACAACTGAGTTTCTGCATAAATCAGAATTTGAGTAGGTACATAGATCGAAGTTAATATCAAAGCAGACATGAACATTGGGTAAATTACCTTAAATCGGGGCGGAAGGCGGCAGGAGACGCGGGGAGGCGAGCTGCGCGCTGCGTAGTTTCACTTTCACTTCGAAGAGACGCGGCGATACGACGCGTGTTTCTAATAATTCCGCCCCAGGGAAGGAAGGACACGCTGCACTTCACCTTATATGAGATAATCACTGTGTTTTGCAGACTTTTAAGTTCAGCCTATGTAAATTGACTTTCACAGTCCACAGCAGTTTCCTCTTAATTCTTAGTTTTTCAGCAAAAGCCTAAATGGGCTGTATTCCCCAACACATAAACCTGTGCTATCGGACTACTGGCAGTCCGTGACAGCATGACCACGCAAGGGAAATGGCGTCAACGACGGAGTACTTCGAAAAACGTCTCCTTACTTTTTTCAGTCGCGTATCTAATCTATCTATCTATCTATCTATCTATCTATCTATCTAATCTTATCTTATCTCTGGATCACTTAACTGTGATTATCCATCCATTTTCAATACTAATATATCATATAGATTACAGAGGTCAGTTTTTACAGTATTGCAACTAAATTGCATAATACATTATTATTATTATTATTATTATTATTAGGGTAGAATGGTAGCATGGTAGATGTTATGCTGGTTTCCTCTTATATACCAAAGACAGAGAAAAGCAAAGTTGTTCCCCTGCCTTGTACTCCACGTCCCCCATGGCCGTCGGCGGGATGAGTGGCTGGAAGATTGGACAGATAGAGCAGCGTTTGCGTTGGGCGGCAGGAGGCTGTGCACAGATCCCAGCAGAGTTTTTAGGAAAAAACTCCATACTAGAAGTATGAAGATAGAACACTGAAAGTTCAGTCTGACCACAAACCCTTGTAGCAAACTACACCACTCATAATTAAGAGAGAGAGATTCTGAGATTACAGAAATACGATACACATACATTCCACGGCACTTTAGCTGCAGACACACCCAGCAGACACAGAGAAAGACAACACTCCGGTGAGGATTAAAAAAACAGAACTAAACAAATGGGTGAAACCATTTTTTTTTTATCCAAGATGAGCTCAGTGTACGGCATAGCATGAAACTCAGAGGTAAATGAGCAGTGATAGTCTGGAGTCAGAAATTATGCTATTCATCATATTTTGCCAAAGTTACTGTTAGAGAGCCAGAGAATGTGTATTGGCTCGGTATCCATGAAGCCGTAAAGACCTACACAAGAAAGAGCGCAGAGCTGATGATTCAAAGCAGCAGAAAGAGACAGAGAGTCCCCACAACATTCCTCTGAGGCCATGGGCAAAAGGTCCAACAGAGTTATTTACATTCAATAACAGAGACAATCTTGTTACTGTAGAATATTTCTCAAAGTTCACGGAAGGTGATTACCTTCCAGACACCTGAACAATCACTGTTATTCACAAGCAGAAAGGTCACAAGGTGCATCCCGGCATTCCTGACCTCGTGCTAACGGATCACAATATTACTTGCAGGAATTCAAACAGTTTAGTAGACAGCGACATTGAGCATGTGACATCATCAACTGTCACTATCATTAAAATAATGACAAAGCATAGCCCATCCATCCATCCATCCATCACAAAGGTCACAAGGGGACTTGGAGCCTAAAAAGCATAATCTTCTGTAATAATGACTAATAGAGTAAAGAAAATGGGCAGTCTCATCCTTACCTTATTCTGAAATATAGAAACACACCATATAAAAGTTTCAATGCCAAACCAGCAAAGAAAGGTTTGAGCAAAATGACAAGAGCACTGCTAGCACTGTGAGAAAGCTCTCTGCAGCCGGGTGTGGTGAGGGCAGTCTGCGGCTTTAAAGGTAATCAGAGACACGCTGAGTATTGCGACGAGGAATGCAGAAGCTGCAGGAATGGGGAAGAGTGAGACTGCAGGCCAAACTGGAAAGCCAGGGGACAGAAAGCATCCCAAGAAACGAGACACCTCAGGAAAGTACCAGAAGGACGGCAGACGGACCCAAAAGACAGCCAACAGGAAGAACTAAGTTCCAGACAGAACTGAGAGGCTGGAGATTAATTATTCATTTAGAGGAATGCCCAGTGCACAGTGCTATGTACTGCATCACCATGCTTCCCCAGCTGTGAGAAAACTGCAGTTTGTTACATATCTCAAAATCGGCTACATTTAAGTGTTTAATTTAATCAGTGTTTCTGGAACACAGAGCACAGTCCTACATTACAGTTTATGGGGAATCATAATAGTCTGAGTTGTGGGGGGGTCTGAAATCGCCCATGGCTTCTTTTCAGCACTGTGTATGCTGAATCTGTGGACGCATTTTCTTATAGACAAATCATATTGTCAAAGCTAAGAGATTTCTAAAGCAATATAGTGGCCTGGGCGTTCACCTTTGATGTAGCTAAACAATCGGTGTCCTACAGTTCAGCCCTATCGCTAAAAATAATAATCCTGTATATTTATAAAGATCATGAAAAAAGTCACAATACTGCAGCTGTATTTTGCTGCATTTGGAATCATCTCAGAATCACATACTAAAAATCAGCTGATTACAAAATATAGCCATATTCCGGAATATACCATTAAAAAGTTACCCGTCATTTTGGCCTGTGTTCAAAAGCACAAGGAAGAAACAAAGTATTTTAGCCATGCATCTTTGCTGGTAAATAAGTAAACAATTAAATGAATGAATATGGCTTAAAAAAATACACAGCCCCTGTAACAGAGCATAATATCAAAAGTAACTGTCATAAAGCCTATAATGTCTATAATCTTTAGCATAAAAGAATGTAAAAACATCAACAGAATTCCAAAACCTCATTTACTTGTGTAGATTCAGAATGTGAACACATTCTAATTTTTCCTCTCGAAAAGATTAATGCATTATTATTAAAATTATTTATTGCGCAGCTATTTTTACAGCATTAGTGAAACCAGTATTTTACAGCAAGTAACACTCTCTCAATTTAAATAAGGCTCCATGAGCACAGGAACAGCTTTATATAATAATAATAATAATTAAAAAAAAAAACTGAAGGGTGAAACATGTCGGTGTTCCGAAACCCATCCCCTCACCCCCATCTGCCATTGTGGTGAAACTCAAAGCCCTACAATGCAGACAGTCCGCAGTCCTGCTCACTAACATTTCACATAGTTAATATAACAAATGACTCCAATTAAAAATTTGACTGCAGCTGGCACAGATAAAGACATCTGCTTAGCAGACAAATGTGTATGAGCATAACACAACTAAGTACTCATCAACTGCTTTATATGATGGGACAGTTCTTCAGGGAGCCCTAATTCAGCCACCAGTTCCAAGCAGGTCTTCATTAGCTGCCCAAGCCTTTGTTCCAGGCTGAACGTGTCACACGTGGGGTTACGACAGACAGATAGCGAGGAGAAGATTCCCTCCTCTGCACCCTCCTCCCTGGAACAGTCCTTCATAGCACAATCCCCTTCCTCAGATGCACAGTCAGCCCCCCAGACAGCCAGGTCCTCCATATGGTCCGTGACATCCCTCACATTGGCCTGTGGATGGAGCTTGGCCATCTCCATCTCCATGTTCCTCACCATTGCCTCCTCATGCTTCACCACGTCCTGAAGGAGCTGCCTGAGCAACGGAGAGTTCAGATGCTGCTGTTGACACCAGCACTGCATGGCACTGTAGGTATGGAGACAAAGACGGACATGGAATCGGCTATAATACTTAGGTTTCTGCATTTTACATTTTATTTTTACGGCTTGACACCAGCACTGCATGGCACTGTAGGTATGGAGACAAAGACGGACATGGAATCGGCTATAATACTTAGGTTTCTGCATTTTACATTTTATTCTTACGGCTAATGCTTTTATCCAAATCAATGTACATTTTTGAGAAAGTAAGGTGCTGACTTTCTCAGTTGCACAAGAGCCTAACAATGACCTGGGAGATTCTGATTACAAGGACAGTGTCCTAACCTACTGAGCCACACAGCGCCCCCTATGCTTTATGTGCGAATAAATGCACAGCAGTGCAAGCTGCAAGAAGGGGCTGTTTAAGCCTTTGCATTTCATCACATGGTTGTTTTAAAGAAAAAAAAAAACGGTCATAAAATTAGGTTTTTTCAAATAAACGTACTCCTTACATGCATGTAGTGAATTATTTATTTTTACAAACCTGCTTCCTTGATTGTGCTCAAAAAGAAACATATATAATATACAATAAAATTTAGATAAGACTTTATAGATAAGACTTCATTGATCCCATACTGGGGAAATTTACTTGTTGCAACAGCCAGTAAATAAAAAGGACTAGAAAAGAAACAGACCAAAAAATACTGTAACAAACAATAAATAGTAAAATTAGTGCACACAATTACACATATTGCACAGACCCAAAATACTCATACATACATACACACATACACACATACATACATACATATTGCACTGAGTGATGGAAATATAGTTGTATGCCAATGCAGCGGATATTGCACAATATACAGAATAGTGACATAGATTTAAAGCTATAATATCAGTAACAGTATTTACAAAAGGCAATGCACGTCAGAAAGATGTAAAAGGAGAAAACAGTGCGGCAACAGTATAAAGCAAGAGGGCGTGCACAGGTCACTGGTTCAAGTCTCAGCAGAATAGTAATAGGGGCTCTTAAGGAAGGCCATTAACACCCAGCTCCAGGGACGCTGCATGCCGGCTTACCCTATGCTGTCACCCTCATGCTTGTTTTCACCTGTATGCGTCTCATAGAAAGCAAGATGGAGTAAGCGAAAAGAGAACCTCCCCACGGATATAGTAAAGTATCACCATTCTTCTGTAAAGAGGAATGTTAGCTGCTAGGAGTCTTAATGTAGTACACGGACGGGACCTCATTTAGTACATTTAGTACTGTCTTTCACGTTTTTACCTCAGGATCCCTTTCAGCTGTCCGATGGCGACCATCTTCGCTGCTCCTTCCCTGTAGCCGGCATTAAACCCGTGCTGTAGGGAGGCCTCTTTACCGGCGTCCGCGCCATCTCGGTACCCTTCCTTACGAAAAACCCAAGGTGAGCAACATCAATATCCATGATCGCTTCGGACCATTCTATAAATGTAACTATGTTTATTCATACAACATAACTACCCGTTCAAATATTATCCTCAGATGAAAACGTTATTTTATTACAAAATAAATTTTAAAAGATGATACGCTGTAAAAAACGAACCCTGTGCCGACTGCTATACATTTACAAATTTAACAAAGATGTCCCATCTGACGGAAAAACATGCTACTAATGTACCTTCGCACGCTTCTCCATATTAGTCCTCCACTCTTTATTTTGGAGACTGAGATCATCTTCCTCTTCATCAAACACATCATCCCCACTGCTTGGAACACTCTTCACCCAAGACATCACTCAGTTTAAAGATGTAAACTAGATATAAACTAGAATAAATTCAATAACGGCTTCTTGGGTTATAATTATGGTGGGTATAATCCACAACCCAACCGTCACGCCGGACAGGAAGCCGCATTTTCTGACGTCATAACCGCGCGACAATCTCCCCATTCTTAGGAAGGCGCATGCGCAGTAAACTATATAACTGGACTCGAGTATGTTGCCATCTACAGGACGCAGACAAAACAACGGAAACATCCCGGAGAAAAACTTTAAAAGTAAAAAGCGGAATTACTAATGCAGCTACAAATGTAAATCATATTAGACTGAATGCCGAAAAATTATTATTTGTCAGCTATTAAAATGGCAGCATACACTACCTCGCCAATAGTTATGGACACCCATACCAATTATTGAGTTACCAAAACAGAGTTCAGCTGTTTCAGCCATACCCATTGCTAATAAGTGCGTTATAAGTGTCTAATATGAGGCACATAGGCATGTAATCTCCATAGACAAACACTGGTAATAGACTCTGACTGTGTTATACTGAATAGCTAAGTGACTTTGAACATAACACCATCATAGGATGTTACTGTTGCAGAAAATCAGTTCCTCAGCTGGTGTAAAGCACATCGCCACCGGACTGTGGAGCAGGGGAAACACATTCTCGCGAGTGATGAATCATGCTTCACTATGTGGCAGTCTGACACAAATGTGGCTTTGGTGGATGCCAGGAGAACACTGAGTGACTGAGTGCACAGTAGCAGATGTAAAGTTTGGGGGGCTGGCTAGGGGCTGGCTAATGGTTTACGGCTGGTCTAGGCCCCTTAATCTCTGTGATGGACAATCTTAATTGGTCAGCATGCAGAGACATTCTAGACAATTGTGTGCTTAACAGTTTGGGAAAGGATCTTTCCAGATCCAGCAGGACTGTGCCCCTGTGCGCATAACAAAGAACATAAATTCATGGTTTGTTGGGGTTGGTATAGAAGAACTTAACTGGCCTGCAGACAGCCCTGACCTCAGTCCCACTGAGCACTGGAAATGGAATGATAATGCAAGCCAGGCCTTCTCACCCTACACCAGTGCCCAACATCAGTTTCAGATTCAGATGCTTTATTATCATTGTTGTTTCCACAGAAATGAAATTTTAAAGGTGCATCCTCTCCAGTGTCACATCAAAACAGTAGACACATTAGAAACAATAAAACATCAAATAAATAAACAGACAAACAATAAACAGACCAGCACCTTAAAGTAGTCATACCCCATAGTTTCAAGATATTGCACGTTTCGCCTATTGCACTTGAAAATAGTAGCATTAAAATTAAGCAATGAGTCTAACTTAGTTGTAACCATGAGAGTGAATTGTAAACATGAAGGTACACTAGATCAGATTGTCAGCTTAGCAGCATTTAGCATGGTGATGGCTGAAGGATATAAACAGTTTTTTAGTCTGTTAATTTTGATTAGGCCTGAAAGACCCTGTGGAGCTTTCTTCTGTGCCACTGTGCAGCTGGAGAACCATGCACAGAGACAGTAGGCTAGGATGCTTTCAACTGTGCAACAGTAGAAGGACACCAGCAGTTTCTCAGGGTGCTGTTCAACCTGAGAGCTCTCAGGACATAAAGTTTCTTTTGGGTCTTTTTCACCAGTTCAGCGGTGTGTGTTCCCCAGGTCAGATCTTCCCTGATGGTGACTCTCAAGAAGAGGGAATCTAAGACCTTCTCCACACAGTCCCCGTTGATGATGAGTGGCTGGATGTCTGCTGTCTTCCTAAAATCACGGTACATTTCATGTCTATTTTGGAAAGAATTGCATATTCGTTCTTGTAATGCAGTGACTAAAGTTCAATAAAATTACACCTACTACAAGAGTAACAGATGTGAAGCCATTCTGCTGACTGCTATAATGAAACTTGATGAACTGTGCTTGTTTTTTACTTGACTCAGCTCAAAATTTGTTTTTGCTGTTAACGTGAAGAAAATAAGCAAATTGCCCATTAGATGGCAGCATTGTTCAATTTTAGGCCCAGAATCCCAGGCCCTGATCATTTGATTTTAATTTGCATCTACTTCCATCGCCTGTCCATCCATCCATGAAAATACGTACTTACCCAGGACATGGCCATGGTGATCTAGAGTTAGATTTTTTAAATATGAATTGATTACTTCATTGTTTAGTTAGAAGGTATATTTATGATTGGAAAAAGGGGAATGGGCTTGTTTTGGCATATCAGGTCCTTAAAAAACAAATAATTAGTTTATTGTGCAATATTTTGAAGAAATAATTTGTAACAATAAGCACATCCACTGATATTCAGACATTTGGATTCACTTATTACAATGAATGTTAATAATGGTGTGATTGGTGTCATACTTTTGTGGCAATGCATTTTGTGATTAGTGACTGTGTCACTAGTAATTAGTTCCCAGGCACATAGACATGTAGTAAAATTACAGGTCTGAAATATACTGGGATGATCTTCCCCCACGTCAGCCAGCAAAATGTACTGTGTGCAGCAGTTTCCTATTCAGTGGTTCTCCTGGAATGATTGTGTAGAGCCAGCTAATCGTTCACTGCATCTGAGAACTTTTTAATCCTGATTGAAGACTGATCTTTTCTCCCTGGCTTTTGATTAGTGCAAGTGTCTTTGTTTTAAGGTTTTGTTGTGTTTTTGTTCTAATCCCTATTCATCTTAGTTTGATTTGTTTGATTATTTTGCAGCACATTGATCAACTTTTATTATTTTAATTGTGCTCTACGAATACATTTTGATTTGATTTGAATACATTTTGAATACCTTATCTTGCAATTATCAGCGCAATGGATGCTGACTATGTGTTTGGAAGTATTTGGATGGAACTTAGAAATGATAGGCTAAGGTTTCAGAAAATAACAGAAAAAAGTGAAAGCTGCCTGAGAAAATCACCAAAAGAGTCATTATAACCTGGTATAAATAACTGACAATTGTTATGAATGTTATATATTTTTTATAATTTTGTATAATGTACAGTAACTTGTGTAAAAATAACCTATATGATCAGAAAAATTTTTATTCATACAATTATAATGATTTATTCTCTTGAAACTATAAGTCTAAAGTCTATAAGTTGTGCTTGAGGCAACATAAGTTTACCTATTGGGGCCCATCGGGGGTGGTGGGGCTCCTGAATAGGTTCTTGGAAAACAACCCCCCCCTTCACCAGCAGGTGGAGGCAAATGCACATCTACAGACCAACGACGTCAACTTCACAGCGCCAAAGGTTCCTGCTCAAACCGCTTGTCCAGTTGCTCTCATGCACGATATTCTTTGTTGTTCAATTTTTAGCACTATTTTTGCCTGCCTAGGAAAATATTTACAGAATAAAGTCACATAATGGCTATGTGTGATATACGTAAATGACATTTTAAACGTATTGTATTAATGAAACAATTGATGAATCAGTATAAAGCATTAAAAATGAATCTAATAGAGGTTATATGCTTTTATGTAGTTCTGCATGAAACAACACATGAAGTGTATGAAATGTACAGCAGCGCTTTGGTGATTAATTACCAAGCAGATTTTGATATGAGTAAACAGCAAGTGATAAATTCCAATCTTGTGAGTGGTTTCATGAGTGGGATCCATAACAAATAAATTTGAAGGTGCTTCTGAATTCTGTCATTTTTATGTGTTGTGTGCTTATAAAATAAATTTATCACATAAAGTTAGGACAATTCATTGCTGACGTGAAGTTTAGTATCATACACTATTAAGTTTTTTTTTAAGTATGTATGTATTTACTGAATGATTTGGAAGTAAATGTAAAATAAAACTGGAATATAATAAAATAAAGTATAATTCATAAATACAAAAAGAATAGCTATAAAATGAAATAATTCAATGCTGAGCTGACTAGTATCAAATATGAAATATAATTATTGGTAACACTTTACTTGAAGCAATCTACATAAGGGTGACATGTAACCGTCATAAGAATGACATGACACATGTCATGCACATTAATGACACATTATTGATGTTTATGACTGTTGTCATGCACATGTCATAATGTGTCATTCAGTTCCAAAAACCGAATGACACATTATGACAACAGTCATAATTGCCTAATTATTTAATATTATTTGAAAATACCCTGATTCTTTTCATAATTATGTAGTTAATATTCACAGAATAACACCATATGAACAGAGAAAACTTGGTATAACAAGTTTTGTCAAAAACACAAGTAAATTTGATTTTAATGACACATTATTTACACTACGCTAAAATACGTTTTTTTACCTACTTAGTTTTTTTTACCGCCCTCCTTGTCACAGTCACATCTCTAGTGGGGCCTGAGTGAGCCCCTTAATGCACGATTCAAAGGACAGCAAGATGGAATATGCATCCCAACACAGCTGTACTCATGCTTGTGAAATGGCAAATAAAGCATTATTTTATTTTATTTCCTCTTTCCATCTATCCGTCTTACAGCTGATTATCCTGGTCACGCTCGTGGGGCACAAGGTTGGGGTACACCCTGAATGGGGTGACCGTGTGTACCCTGTGCTGGACTGTACTCTCCAGTTAAAGTGTGAGTTTGGAGCGGGTGAACTTACTGGGGTAAATGTATTCTCTTGAAGGTCCTCTGCGGTAAACTTTGCATTAACAGCTTCTATGGTCAGCACTCTGAGCTCCACTCTGGATGTTTGCAGTGAATCACAATTCATTAAAGGCCCCTGAAACAAAGCAAGATGCATTAATATTTAATTGTGAAATTACTGTTGCAGGTACAAAGGGGCAAATCAAGTGAATCGGACGGTGCTTCTGCCTCATCCCATCAGAACGATGCTATGTGAAGCCCTTTCATGTCTGAGGTTGCCGGGAGATGGGGGCAGTTCTGAAGCGCTTTGTTGTTGGGTGAGAGGCACGGCATCAGGGGGTGCAGGTGCGTCGGTGGGTGGAGTAAGGATGGTCAATGGTCGCATGATGCCCCTGTATGTTTTTAAGTTTTAAAGGTGGCCCAGGCTACCGCATTCACTTGAGCTCGTCAGCCTTTAAAAAGCACAGCACTGTGAGGTCGTTACACAGACAAACGTAAAGCTACTGTCGTCAATAAAACTTAACAAGATCCTCGGGAAATATTACATAGCTTCCAA